ACAGAGAGAATCCGATCCCCTATGATCTGTCCTATAGATCAGAGACGAGGAATCCGCACTCACCTCAGCTCCAGGATCGATGTGCCCAGGTAGTTGGAGTTTGCGGTAAAACATTCCGTCATCTGTAGAGGAGATACAAAGGATTCCGTGAGCCAGCGCTGCACCCGATCACAGTACACAGGGGTACCGGCACAGTCCAGGGTCACAGTACATAGGGGTACCGGCACAGTCCAGGGTCACGGTACATAGGGGTACCGGCACAGTCCAGGGTCACGGTACATAGGGGTACCGGCACAGTCCAGGGTCACGGTACATAGGGGTACCGGCACAGTCCAGGGTCACGGTACATAGGGGTACCGGCACAGTCCAGGGTCACAGTACATAGGGGTACCGGCACAGTCCAGGGTCACGGTACATAGGGGTACCGGCACAGTCCAGGGTCACAGTACATAGGGGTACCGGCACAGTCCAGGGTCACGGTACATAGGGGTACCGGCACAGTCCAGGGTCACAGTACATAGGGGTACCGGCACAGTCCAGGGTCACGGTACATAGGGGTACCGGCACAGTCCAGGGTCACAGTACATAGGGGTACCGGCACAGTCCAGGGTCACGGTACATAGGGGTACCGGCACAGTCCAGGGTCACAGTACATAGGGGTACCGGCACAGTCCAGGGTCACGGTACATAGGGGTACCGGCACAGTCCAGGGTCACGGTACATAGGGGTACCGGCACAGTCCAGGGTCACGGTACATAGGGGTACCGGCACAGTCCAGGGTCACGGTACATAGGGGTACCGGCACAGTCCAGGGTCACGGTACATAGGGGTACCGGCACAGTCCAGGGTCACGGTACATAGGGGTACCGGCACAGTCCAGGGTCACGGTACATAGGGGTACCGGCACAGTCCAGGGTCACGGTACATAGGGGTACCGGCACAGTCCAGGGTCACGGTACATAGGGGTACCGGCACAGTCCAGGGTCACGGTACATAGGGGTACCGGCACAGTCCAGGGTCACAGTACATAGGGGTACCGGCACAGTCCAGGGTCACGGTACATAGGGGTACCGGCACAGTCCAGGGTCACAGTACATAGGGGTACCGGCACAGTCCAGGGTCACGGTACATAGGGGTACCGGCACAGTCCAGGGTCACAGTACATAGGGGTACCGGCACAGTCCAGGGTCACGGTACATAGGGGTACCGGCACAGTCCAGGGTCACAGTACATAGGGGTACCGGCACAGTCCAGGGTCACGGTACATAGGGGTACCGGCACAGTCCAGGGTCACAGTACATAGGGGTACCGGCACAGTCCAGGGTCACAGTCCACATTTGCTGATACTCACATTATTCAGAACCTCTCTATAGATAGCGGCGTATGGTTCGGATGTCGGGTCTGCATTGAACTCGCTGCCAGTGATTTGCAGCTCTCCATAGAATGCGTCACCTGCACCCAACATAAGAGACATTCAGGTTTTCTGATTTGTACAAGAAAATGATTTGTAACTTTCGGGAAATCTATAATAAGTTGTCACTCATGCCCGGCCGGTGATCGATCGAAAGTTCGAACTCAGCGAGTTGTGGGACCGCATGACTTCCGGTTTCCTTAGAACGACGAGGTTTGCCCAAAAGACTTGTTCTGCACGAGCGCCAGCCAAGGCATTGGCCTATACACATACAGCACAGCGATGACCTATACACATGCAGCACAGCGATGAAGTAATAAAATGAACTAGGATCACACTCATCCAGCGCGTTATTATTCTGAGTTGCCCCACTCAAGCGGCGGCCATATTGAGTGGGGCACGTGAGATAAATAACGCGCTGGATTAGTGTGATCCTATTTCATTTTATTACTTCATCGCTGTGCTGTATGTGTATAGTTCATCGCTGTGCTGCATGTGTATAGTTCATCGCTGTGCTGCATGTGTATAGTTCATCGCTGTGCTGTATGTGTATAGGCCGATGCCGCGGATGGCGCTCGTGCACAACAACTTTCTTGCCCAAACCTCGTCGTTCTAAGGAAACCGGAAGTCATGCGGTCCCACAACTCGATGAGTTTGGACTATCGATAGAACACGGAGTTTAT